AATTCACCCACTCGCCAATAAAATAAATAAACATGCATCTCACCGTCATAAAAAGGCCATCAACAACCATTTCACGGCAGACACCAAATGCCAAGGGATTGAAAAATATATATATACGCGGATGTTCTCCCACAATACATTCCAACAAAAGATATTCTCTCAAGCCTAAAATAAACACCGTAAAGTCACAGAAGCCGCCTCGTCAAGCCAAAAATCGGGTGATGCCCCTCCTCGCAATGCTCTGCTGTCCGCAGACACCGCCCTCTGTGGTGTTCAAGCAAAGAAAAACGTTCAAAAACCAACAGCAAGAGAAACCTCCACACGCAACGTGTGCACCACCGTGGAGCATCGCTTCTATCCCCGCAAGTAAAACAGGCGCCGTCACACCATCCGCAAGGATCGTCAAAAACACGCCAAATTGCAAAGTACGCAACACGCTCCGCCGTGACCATCGTTTTCCCGATAGGGCAGCCCACTTCCGTCCACCGCGTCTGCCAAGCAGGGCACACCAGGCCTGCCGCTGCAACGCAAAAAAGAATCAGAAATACGCAACGGATCCCGTCGCAGTCGTTGGCTCAGCCGCCGTGTTGAGGCTTGGGAGGGGCGGATGGAGGAATAAAAAAAAAACGGGCAAATGTCCCCGCGGAATCCCGCATTCCGCGCAGTCCCAATGGCCAGAGGGTCCTCTGGGGACGCCTGGGAGACGCATCCGCCAAACTCACGCGCACCATCCTTCACGGCACCCCAATCGAGTCCAGCGGGCCTTGTGAAGCACACGGCGCGCCTCAGTGGCGTGGCGAGCAGCCTTCTCGGAGGAAAGGACGCGTGGCAACGGTTCCCCTCCCAATTCACTTTTCTTTTTCTCCTCCTGTTTTTGGTGGCATGTCACAGAAGGGGAGCGCACTTCATGTCCCCGAGCCCTTCTCTCGGTGCACGCACAAAAACAGAGAGGGGAATAATAAACGAGTGGGTCAGGCGGCACGAAGAAATAAATGTGCGGGAGACAAACAAAACAACAGAACAAACAAAGAGCCCGACAGATATGCACGCAGCATATCCAGCGGAAACGGGTGTCACCCTCAGTGGGTAACTTAGTAGCCAATGGCGGTGTCGATCGCCCACGAAAAGAAACAACGTTCTGCCCACAATATTTTTGGCTTGTTTTCTGCTTCCCTCCCCTGTTATTTCCCCCTCATCCATCATCATCATGTTTCCTGCTTGCTGCCGCCCCCTCCTACCTTCGGCAACACTGCCAAGTTTGGACGCTCCGCCCTCCCCCTGTCATGCCAAATATACGTTTGCGCTCTTTAAAATCCATGGCGTACTCGCTTAAATATTAATCGTGTAAATAACCAAACAGAGGTGTAAATTTCTAAAAATTAAGGCAAAACAAAATAAGAAAGCAAAACTTGTGTTTGTTGCCGAATCATCTTCCTTTAGTCCTCACAGGGTACAAAAGCCTCCTGTCGTAGTCAATACTTGGAACTCTTCGGATCTCATCATGCCCGTAGGCCCGAATGCGTTGTATGCGTGCCTCATCCTTCACCCAAACGTCTAGGGGGACCATGCCGTCATATGGCTCCTTGGACCCATCGCAGCATGCTTTTAGACCGTTCCACTTCATCATGGCATATGGTTGGTTCGTCATCAAAGACTTGACGCGACGGTACCAGAGAGCGTCCGGTAGCTCCAGTTGCTCCGAGAGACGAATATTCGAGCTGCCGCGATGCACAAATTTGCCGCATAAGACATTTCGCTCCTGAAATCCAAGCAAACGGAGGCGCAGGCTGTATTCGACATCCTCCACGTAAGCTGGGTAGAAGTTCTCGCCAAAATATCCCACCGTGCCGATCGCCAGGCGTGTCAACATAACAGACGCAAAACAACTGCTTTTGTAATACGCGCAGAAGTGCCCGTAATGCTTCGAAAATGCCTTTTCACGCTCCTTCACAGAAGCATAACGAACGCGGTCAGGCAGCAGCGCAGACGTCGACAATCGGTCATCGCTCACCGTGGAGCGCAGCACCCTCAAGCCCCGTCGCAAAACAGGACTGTACTCGCTCGGCTCATTCGCCACTTCCGCCGACAACTCATCCATGCGAGCGGCATCATGCCTCGTCATTTCATGCACATCGCGTAGAGGGTTGGGAAGGAGATCGGGTGAAAACATTACGTCGCTGTTTGCCACAAAAACAAAAGGCACTTCCTCGCGCGGCAGCGAGAGTGCAAGTCGTGACCCGATGTTCACGTCAGCGCTGTACCCGATGTTTTCCGGGTGACGACTCACAGCCAGGCGTCCGGACCACCCATAGACCTTCTCGAGTTCCTGCAGGCACAACGACAGCATCGCCTCCCGCCCGTTCTGCACCAAAACCAACAGCCGGATGGGCACACTGATGTTGCACATCATCCTCCGAAAGTCCATCAGATCGAGCATCAGCGGGACCACCATCAAAGGGATAACGTCCGTCCCGTTATTATTTCCCCCAGCCGCCGTGTCGTTGGATCCACCAGAAGCCTTTCCCCGACGCAGTGGATATAGTCCGCCCTGGTCGGATCAGCACCAAACCATACGTGGGATTGTCGCCAAGTAGGAACTCCACTCAAAGAAAAACATCAACATGGACAAAAAATAAAATTAGAAGAGAGCTAAAGCATCCTTTCCAAAAAAAACTCGTGGCTCCGTTTTTTTAAACGCGTGTAACTCCGTGCATATCCCGTTGGAGGCAAAGCCAAGGAAGCATCTCCTGAAAGAAACCAAAACAAGTATAAAAGAAAAATGTGCTCAATGATGGTTCTGTGTCAATTTGAACAAAAAAAAAAGGCTCCTTCCTAAGCAATGGTCATGCACCTCCATTTGGTGAGTGAAGTGGAGGCACGGAGCACGCAGGAGTCTCAACATGACCAGCAACAAAATAAGCAACAAAAGTAAAAATGGCTAAGAACGGAAACAAAAAAAAGAGACCAATGGCACAGTAACAAATGCAGTTCTCGCCGCAGCATGCAAAGCTCTCATACATCTCGTAAAAAAAAAAAGGATGGCGAAACACAACAGTCCAGGGTGCCATTTGTAATACCACATGATTCCATAAAGAATAAAAGTGTTCGTTGAGGAGCCCAAAATGTAATGAATTTTGGAGGGCACCCAAATCGCGGGCCAACAAGCCTGCGGCACTCACCACACATCCCGCACCGCTCAGTCCCCATTCCTCTCATGTAAACTCCCAAAAAAAAAAAAGCACAGTCACCAGACATCCTACATGCCCAAAAACAAAAAAACGTATTTTAAACTGTCCTATCGACACCCGCGAATAAGAAAAGAAACTTCAGTTCAGCATAAAAACGTCGCAGGCACTAAAATAAAAAATAACTGTTCTTCAATATGGGGAATTGTTATAGCTCAGGGCGACAGCCATCCAGACATTCTGAAAACGCAATTCGGGATTTCAAGTCACACCTTGTGCCCAGTATTTCCCCAATCACCTCACCCATCACCACCGCAAGAAACAGCACCTCAATCAGCACCTTGGCGTAATAGCCGAATTCTCTTTCTTTATTTGCCTATTGGGCGCAAACAACAAAAAGCAGCACCACCATAGGGGTCTCCATCCGCTTGAACCTTTTTCTTTTCCTGTAATAAAACCCAGCGGCAGAGTTAGAAATGAAAAACTGTAATAATAAATGTAAAGAGGCAATCAATGCCAAAAAAATGGCAAGCGCTGACAAGGGCATTTCTATAGAAAAGAATCCTTTCAGAGGAAATATAAAAGTACAAATACAGAGAGGTAGATAGATAAATATTTTTTTTTTTTCTAAGCTTCAGGTGCGTCGCTGAATGCCAAAACGTCCGGCAAAAGGATAAATCAGCGAGCGCACACACAAACACACGATGCAAGAAAAAAAAAAAAACAATCCCCAGAGTCGGATTTCTCCTGCTTCAGCACCGCGTAAAAAAACACAAAAAAAAAAAACAGACGTGTTGATTGGTCATAAATACCAGAGAAATAACATTAAAAAGGCTTTCATGATGTTTTTGCTGTACTGTGATAGTGCACTTTCACCTCCCACATTGCCTCCTTCGATCTTCCAGTGCTACTGCTGGCGTCGACGCTGGCGGTGGCTTTCAGAAAGCCTTGGTTTTCCAACCCAACAACAGTATAGTCAAAATTGCCGCCCCATTCGCGCAGTGTGAGGTCGTTTTTTACGTACAACAAAAAAAGTTTTCCGACCTTATCCACTGTGCGGTGTGTTAAAGGATTATCTACAGTATTTGCCCAGACTTCTCGTGGTGCCTCCAGAGGCGTAGGAAGAGACAAGGAACACACAAACGCGGACCATTCTTCCTTCAACTTTGCGGCAACAGGATTCTCCTTGGCCAGTTTCCCAAACTCCTCAACGCCCGCTGCAAGTTGTTCTTTCCCACCGCAAGAATTAGCATCTTTTTTTTCCTTTGTGTTCGTACAGCCCATATTGCTATTTTTTTTTTTTTTATGTGCCTTGTTTTTTATTTTCCCGGTATCTATTTTGGCTATTGAAGGTTCCCTTCCCACACAAACGGAATAAACGTGGTATCACAAGAAAATATAAAGTGCATGTAGTTTGGCAAAGGATACCACAAGCATTCTATCCCGAACAGTCTTTCCTTTCACCTGGTCAATAACAATATTCAATCATCTTCGGCCTTAAATTCTCTGCGTCCCCCTCCCCTCATACGCAACGCACCATTCCCCTGGATTCTTTTGAGTTAACTTTTCTTTTGTACTCTCTTCGTGTTTCGTAAGGAATTCACACGTGAGTCTCTCCTAATAAACACAATTTTATGTGGCTGAATGTCTCCTTCATACACATACAAGAGCACATACACACACAAGGAAAAAAAAAATTATGATAATTTAAAATGTGTCTGCTAATCTTTCCACATTTTCTTCATCCTTCCCTCTCCCCCTTACTCCCAAAAATATTGATTATCAACACTGCTCCCAATACACAGTCTGCTGGACTCACATGTGAGACACGGATGGCCGTAATAGACGATACTCAGCATGTGCAGTCCACTTCCCGTAAATCATGCGCTTTGTTATTGTGTTTAGTTCTGAATTAAGAATCAAAATATTTGCCTTCTTTCCCCTCTCAATCGAGCCTACCCCATCCAGTCGGGCAATTTTTGCGGGGGTCGTGGCAACCATCTTGCAGGCAGAAATAAGGTCCACCCGGAAGAGAGTCACCAGGTTCATAAACTGATCAGCCAAAGAACTGGTGCCCCCCGCAAGCGTTTTCGTCGGCCTGCCGGATGCATCACACAGAGAGCAACCTCCTTCAGCGCGGACGCAACTTAAACGTCCATTGTAGGAAAAACGCTTCCCAGGAAGGTTTTCCGATATACAATCCGTGATCAAAGCAACATCATCACACCCTCTGGAAGAAATTGTCACATGCAAAGGAATGGCATCGGTATGGACAAGGTCTCCGATGATCTCCACATATGGGGGAATGGCACCTCTGTATATTTCTGCATTGGGAAATGAAGAGCAAAGTGCCACATTGACGAGAGATGGATTTCGATGACCAAAGGACATCACATTATGCATATGTGTGACATGAAGCTTGTCCCTCTCCGAGGGTGCAAGTTTCAAGGCACCCAAAATCTCTTTCTTCGTTGCCACTCGGTCGTGTCCAAGTGACGGACGAACTCCCAGGCGGAGTAGGTACCCAATGAGCTCATAGTTGCTGCGCGCGTCAATGTGTGGTGATATCGTCATTATACGCATGGACGGCATGGTGGCACACAGTTTCTTAAAACGCTCAAGATTCCACCTGTTTTCACATGCAGGCAGACCTCCTCGATCGTTAATCACCGGCCCCTCCGCGTGAATACCTCCAAGAAGGCAACAATCAGGAATATAAGCACCCACACGCTTCTCAACTTCTTCAATACATTTTTTGACAAGGTGTTTGTGATCATCTGAAAAGACAATGGATGCCAAAGCACAAAGTGTTCCGCACCGTGCAAGCTCCCTGAGAGTATATTCGGGGTTCGTCCAGTAGCCAATAACATCGTCGGCACCTCCTATTCCATGGTTGTGTATGTCAACAAAA